CATATTCGGGGACCCTAAAAACTGTTGAAGAATGAGTTACAAAATAATTTACCCCGTTTTTTGTTTCTAATTCATTAAAGTATTTTGAGATTTTTGGACCTTTTGACATTTGACAGCTCTATTGGCATTGGAAATGAAAATTTGCAAAGAACGCCCATCGGCATCTTAAAGTACATGAATGTAGAAATCTTTTAAGCCCTAGAACGTTCAAATCTATCAAAGCAATTTCTGTTTAGACCTCTGTCCGTTTTGACGTGGAATTTCCCTTATTTACATCAAATATGCAATTATTTTTTATAATTAATTATTTTAATTTAGACCAATATCTCTTTAACCCCTTAGCAGTGTAGTCAAAATAAGCTTTTCGTGCCAAAAATGTGCAAAAAATTTTTTTTTTTAATTACTTGATATTATTATATTTTATGTTTTCGGGGTCGCTGAATCCGAATATTTGATCAAAATTTAAAAATTCAAAATGGCGGCTCCAAAATGGCGGCTTAAAAATTTGAAAGTTTCCGTATTTCACTAAAAATACTCACTTGGGGGTTTTTGGGGTCGCTGCTTTCGAATATTTGGTTAAAATTTAAAAATTCAAAATGGCGGCTTCAAAATGGCGGTTTTAAAAATTTTAAAGTTTCATGATTTGACTAAAAATGCTCACTTGGGGGGTTTTTGGGGTCGCTGATTTCGAATATCTGGTTGAAGTTTTAAAATTCAAAATGGCGGCTTCAAAATGGCGACCGAAAAATTTTTAAGTTTTCGGATTTGGCTAGAAATGAGCATTTGGGGGTTTTTGGAGGCACTGAATTAGAATAGTGGGTTAAAATTTTATAATTCGAAATGGCGACTTCAAGATGTCAACTAAAAATTTAAAAGCTTACGAATGTGGTTATAAATAGTTATTCGAGTCTTTTGGGGTTTATATTTATATATGTATAATATATTTTACATATATTATATTTTTATATTTATATATATTTACACAAACTATCTAAAACACAGCTCTTAGTCGAATCCGGAGTCACGAACTATTTAATTCAATTACTACACGGAGAGAAAAATCAAGCGTTTGTAGTAAGACATGGTCTATACTTAAAAAGCACGGCGCTGTTTATACTTGATTTGTAGAAATCTATGCTAAAAGAGTATAGGTCTCTACTAAAAGAGTATAGGTCCCTACTCTTTTGGCATAGATTTCTACAAATCGAGTATAAACAGCGCCGTGCTTTTTAAGTATAGACCATGTCTTACTACAAACGCTTGATTTTTCTCTCCGTGTATTATTAAATTTTTTAATATAGATCGATTTTGAGTATTTCACAATATTTTAAAACATCGGACATATTAATTTCTCTGCTTTAAATTTTAAGAACTAATTTGAGAATTTTAAATTTTTTGGTCGCCATTTTGGAGCCGCCATTTTGAATTTTGAATTTTTGATTAAATATTTGGATTTAGAGACCTCAAAAACCCCCGAATGAGCATCTTCAGCCAAATTCGTAAACTTAAAAAAATTTTTAGTCGCCTTTTTGAAGCCGACATTTTGAATTTAAAAATTTTAACCAAATATTCGAATTCAGCGACCCCAAAAACCCCCAAGTAAACATTTTTAGTCAAATCCGTGAACTTTTAAATTTTTTTGGTTGACATTTTGGAGCCGCCATTTTGAATTTTAAATTTTTGACTAAATATTTAGATTCAGCGACCCCGAAAACCCCAGAGTAGGCATTTTTAGCAAGATTCGTTAACTTTTATATAACTTTTTTTTCGATGCCGCTATAGCGGTCATACACACTGAGGGCACGAATTATTTTGGCCTCTATAGACGTCAAACACTGTGAAGGGGTTAATTGCGTCAAATAATTATTTATGTAGTCATTCAAATAATTTTTTTATCTATATATTTATTTCATTCAAATAACTTGAATTATGCGAATATACGAAACTTTTTTCTTAGAAAATGCAGGTTGGCAAACTTAGACCAAAAGAATTTAAAAAATTTGAAACAATCTTATAAACCCCTTCGCTGTTTGGAGAAATAATCATATGATTGGCCCAAAATGTTCAGCAAAATCTGGTAGATGAATTTTTATAAAACTTAGTATACAAAGGTTTTTGGGTCGCTAAATATAAATATGACGTCAAAAAAAAAATCAAAATGGCGGATCCAATATGTCGGACAAAATTTTTAAATTTTAAATAGATATTATAAACAAAAAAAACAAAGAACAGAAAGTGTAATGTAAAACCTTTGCAGCCTCCACGCGGCACATTCTGGTGTCATGATTCGTTTTATCAGCTAATGCAAAGGATATAGAATAGAGTACAAAATTTGATAAAAATCGGGATGAATTAAAAAAATTACGTCCCTCATTTTAAATTCAAAATTTTTTATTTTGAAAGACAAATTTAAATTCAGCGACCCAAAATATCCCTTGATACTAAAATTGATAAAAATCCAAATGAATTTAAAAAATTTTCAAAAAGTATGTCCGCCAATTTGGATCCTGCATTTTGAAGTTTTAAAAATGATGGTCAAACTTAAATTCAGCGACCTGAAAAACCATTAAGTACTGAAATCGATAAAAATTCAAATGAATTTCAAAAATGGTGTCCGCCATTTTGAATTTTTTAAGATTAATTAAATTCACCGACTCCAAAAACCCTTATACACTATGTGACTTAAATTAAAAATAAATTTTCATAAATTTTACTTGTTTTTAAATTGTTATATTATTTAAAAATAATAAATAATCATTTATTTATTACTTAATTTAGGAGCATTGCAATTAATAGTGTGTTAATAATGATATAATAGTATATTGTGCAACAAGTACAGAAAGAAGCTGTTTTCCGACGAGTGCAAAGTTTGCTGTCCCGAGCGAAGCGAGAAACAGTTTTCCACGAAGTTGGAAAATCTTCTTTCGTACGTGTTGCACACAGTACTTTGTGCAACACCTTTTGGTTTTGATAAAAAAAGCTGTTTGGAAACGCTAGTTGACGCCAACATACGTACTGTTTAGCAGGGTTTGGAACGTATGTTACCGCACGTAATATACGTGGTTTTCTACGCGTATATTACTGTAAAAAACAGGTATTCTACAAATAGAAAACAAATACAGTACCGTCCGAAATTGTCAGTCCACCCATTTTCAAAGAAATGACAAAATTTTTTTAACATAAAATTCATGAAAAGTAAAATTTTTTTGGTTTATATTTTGAAAGACGATAAAATTTTGAAAAGAATAAGACCTTACAGAAGTCATTTGGCCAAAATTTGTAGAAGATATTCTTAAAAATCGTCATTTTCAATGTTTTACAAAAATTTGAATAACTTCTAAAATAATGAACGCTTTTTAATAATCTAAGGCTTATTTTAAAGACCATTTTCTACAGAATAAGAATTACTTATAGGCATTAACCTGGCATTTTTAACTTGGAATAAGCATGACGTCAAAGTTGGACAAAAAAATTCAAAAAATTTGAAATAATATTATTAAAAGAAAAATAATTTTGGAAATTCAAACATATATTTTTATTAAATTTTCTTGAAAAATCTACACCATATCATGTTTTATATATGTTCTAGAATAGTTTTTAGTACAAAAAATTGATTTTAAATGTTTCCAATTTTTTTGTCCAATTTTGACGTCATGCTTATTCTAAGTTAAAAATGACAGGTTAATGCCTATAAGTAATTCTTATTCCGTAGAAAAAGACCTTTAAAATAAGCCTAAGATTATTAAAAAACGTTCATTATTTTAGAAGTTATTTAAATTTTTGTAAAACATTGAAAATGACGATTTTTAGGAATATCTTCTACAAATTTTGGCCAAATGACTTCTGTAAGGTCTTATTCTTTTTAAAATTTTATCGTCTTTCAAAATATAAACCAAAAAAAATTTTAGTTTTCATGAATTTTATGTTAAAAAATTTTTGTCTTTCCTTTAAAAATGGGTGGACTGACAATTGCGGACGGTACTGTACCTATGTATATCACCAAAAAAACCCAAAAGTTTAAGAACTTTGCCGCACAAGTGCAACAAAGTAAGCACTTTGCCGCACTAGTGCAGCAAAGTAAGCTCTTTGCCGCACTAGTGCAGCAAAGTAAGCTCTAGTACTGTTTTGCGCCTACTTTACAGGCATGCAAAGTATTACTTTTCTTACAGGTGTTGCACAAAACCATTTATTTTATAATTTACATAAGAAATTGCATTTATTTTGCGCTAAGAAGTTTACTACCCAACGGTCGTTAACAGGCAACGGGTAAACAGAAAAATAATTTTTAAAATTCAAACATATTTTTTTACTAAATTTTCTTGAAAAATCTACATCATATCATGTTTGATATTTTTTGAAGGATAGTTTTTTGTACAAAAAAATTATTTCAAATTGAAATTTTTGTGTATAACTTTGCCGACCTGCAATTTCTAAGAAAAAATTACACGTTAATGTCTACAAGTAATTCCCATTCTGTAGAAAAGACTATTGAGTATTGAGATTTAACAATTCTATTTCTGTGTAAGATATTTTTAAAAAATCATTATTGTCAATGTTTTACAAAAATTTAAATAACTTCTAAAAACGGCTTCCGTTTCCGGTACCGTGATAGATAACACGTGGAAATTGATTTAGTGCGATTTTTATAATTTTTTTTGATAGAAGTAGTGATTTAAAGGGTGGGAAAAAAGTGGGTGTGAAAGTTGCAGAAAAGTGTGAAAGGTATATTGAAGGTAAAAAGTGAAAAAAGGTAGTGTGAAAGGAATTAAACAAGAGTGAAATCTGAATGTGTATAGTGAGGTTAGGAGTGTAAGGTAAGCGTTGGGTAAGCGTAGAGGAGTGTAAGTGTTTTTGATTTAGGGGTGTAAAGGGGGAAGGGGAGTAAAATAAGGGTAGAAAGGGGTAGGGTAAGAGGATAAAGTATTTTTAGGATAATTTTGTAAAAAGTTTTTAATTTTTAAAAGAGGGTTTTTGAAGTTGGGTGGGTCGGTAAGTTAGGTATGTCTTTTGGGGAAAAAGTTAGCGTAGAAAACAACAGTGGGAGACAAGACGCAGCTTTAGAGAAAGATCAGATTGAAAGTGATTTTTCTAGTGTAGTGAGTGCAGGAGCGTGGGGAAAAGGGGAAAAGGAAGTAGCGTTAAATACGCCGAAGGCTTTTAGGAGGAAAATTGTATTTGAAGGGGAAAAAGAAAAGAAAAAGAATAAATCAAAGGGTACAAAAAGGGGAAGAAAATCGAATTTTGAAAAATTAGCTGAAGTTGATGTGGGAAATTCACCAGCAACAATGGCGTCATGGAGACAAAAGGATAAGAAAGGGGGGGAGGAAGGTGAGGAGATGGAAAGTGAGAGGGAGGAAAATTCAAGTCCGAATAGCAATGAGGGGGAAAGTAAGAAAAGAAAAATTGAGGAAGGGGGAATAGTTGAAATGCTAAAAAAAATGCAGGAGGATTCGAATAGGAGAATAGAGAAGTTAGGGAAAAAGTTGGATGTAGGGTTGGAAGGGGTAAAAGGGGAAATAAAAGAGGAAATAGGGGAAATTAAAGGTATGTGGAAGGAGTGGGAGGAGCAATGGAGACAAGAAAAGAGAATGATGTGGGAAAAGTTGGAAGTGATGGAAAAAGAGTGTCAGGAGGAGGTAAAAAAGGTAAGAAAAGAAGTGGGTCAATGTAGGGAGAGGGTGAAAGAGATGGAAAAGGGAAGAGGGGGAGGAAATGAAAGAGTATTGGATTTGGAGGAGAAGCTGGGAGAATTAAGTTTAAGATTGGAGCAGATGGAAAAGGAAAAACGAAAAAGTAGAGTAGTAGTAAAAGGAAGCAACATAGAAGGAAGGCAAGGAATAGAGGAATTATTTAGAGATATTGGGGTGGTAGTGGAAGTGAAAGAATTCAAAGGGGTTAGTAAAGGGGAGAATGGTTTGCCATGGGTATGGGTGATAGAATTGGGAAGTGAGGAGCAGAGAAAGGAGGTCTTGAGAAATAAAAGTAAATTGAGAGGTAGAAAAGAGAGAATAGAAGAGGACAAGACATGGGAAGAAAGAAGAAGGGGATGGCTTTTGGAAGGGAAGGCGTGGGAGGAAAGGTTTAAAGGGAACATAGTAAGAATGGGAAGGGACTGTATATGGGTAAATGGAAGGAGATGGGTAGTGGATAGAGCGACAGGGATGGTGGTGAGCGAACAAGCGTGGCAAGAGCAAGAAGAAAAGCGTAGTGAGGGAGAGGAGGAAATGGAGGAACAAGAGAGATTGGACGAAGCAATGGGGGGGCGTTCGAGTGGGCAGAGCCAAGATGGAGGTTAAATAGAAGGGGTAAAAGTAGTAGAGTAGAAAAGGAGGGGATTAAGGTAGTTTTTTGGAACATCTCTGGGTGGAGAAATAAAGAAGAGGGTTTCTGGTCAAGTTTGAAGAGGTGGGATGTATTAATGTTAAGTGAGACATGGGTGGAAGGGAGGGAATGGGAAATAGTAAAGAGGAAATTGCCTAAGGGGTTTAAGTGGGTGCAGCAAGATGCGAAAAGAGAACATGCTAGAGGGAGAAGTGCAGGAGGTATGATTTCGGGGGTAAGATTGAATATTAAGGAAGAAGGAGTTGGGAATGAAGGGAATAAAGAAGGGGTTATGGTCAGGAAAATAAGAGTAGGGAGGGATAGGTTGAATATTGTGGGAACATATAGAAGGAGGGGGGATGGAAAAGGGTGGGAGGAGTTGGAGGAATGGATGGATAAGGGGAAAGATGAAAAGGTTATAATAGGGGGGGATTTTAATGCATGGACGGGGGAATTAGGAGGGGAAGAGTGGGATGAAGAGAAGCAACATCATGTGAGGGAATCGAAACAATAAGAAGCACAGGGAGCATGGCAAGTTAATAAGGGCAAAGCGTGAGAAGAAAAAAAAAGGTATATAGAGGAAGTGCAACAAGCGATAAAAGAGGGTAAAGAGTGGGAGGTTATAAATAAGGGGAGGAAGAGGGGGAAGGGTATAAATACTGAAATTAAAATAGAAGAATGGACGGAATATTTCAAGGGATTAAGTGGGGGAATGGAGAAGTCAGTTAGGGGGGAGGGAAAAAGAAGAGGGGAGGAGATGTCACAGCCAGAGATTAGTAGGAAAGAGGTGAGGGAAGCAATAGATAGGTTAAAGAAGGGTAAAGCGGTGGGGGGAGATGAAATGGAAGCGGAAAGTATAAAATTTGGTGGGGAAGTGGTCGAGAGTGAAATGTGGGGAATAATAAATATGATATGGGGAGGGAAGGGATGGCCAGAAGATTGGAAGACGGGGTTAATTGTACCAATTATAAAAAAGGGAGAGGGAAATAAGGTAGGGGAATATAGGGGTGTGACGCTTATGCCAGCTGGTTATAAGGTATATGCGGAGGTAGTGATGAAAAGGTTGGAGGATAAGGTGGAAGCGTTAGGGTGTATACCGGATAATCAGACGGGATTTAGAAAGGGCATGGGGACGTTAGACAATATTTATGTTTTAAATTATTTAGTGAGTAGGAATTTGGGAAGAAAGGGGGGGAAATTAATGGCAACTTTTGTTGATATAAAGGCAGCGTTTCCATCGGTGAATAGGGGTCTTTTATGGAAAGTGTTGAAGGAAAGAGGGGTGGAGCAAGGGTTAGTGGAAAGGATAAAAGAATTTTATGAAGATACGAGAGAAAGGGTATAACCTGTCAATCACTCTTTTAATAATTATAAATAAATTTTAATTGACTTTAAATCGAGCTAGGGACCACTCGACTATTGACAGGAAATAAAGGCGATCTTGGTAATTAAATGTGAGCGCCTGGCTTTAGAAATCAATTATTTGCCATATTTATGTAATTTTATTTTACCCGGCCAAGTGGATTCGTAGGATGACTTTTATTAAATAAATAAGTAAACACAAAGTTAAATTTAATATCACACACAATTCGATTTATTCTAATAAGAAAAGAACAGTAATTTACATTAACAAAATAGAAAATAATAGAGTTTCGATAATTATAGAATATTCAAGCATCCAAGAGTTTTATTTTTGATTTAGTTTTAATAAAGTTCTTTATTGACACTTTGACTTACCGCCATTCCAATTTATTTCCGGCGAGTCTTTTCTAACTTATTTAAGTCAACTTTAATCTTTTATATATTTTTATTATTCCTTTTAAACAATTATTACTTTCACTACCGCTGTATAATTAAGCGTCGGCCATGGCAGTCAAAACATGAAGACCGTGCTATACATTTTTCTCGCCTAATTCGCCTATTCAAAACCCATGTGGTGGTGACCCTGCCGATAAGTATGAAAATTACCTTTTTCGTACTTATAGGATTAACAGGTCGCAGCCTCACAGGCGCGTTGTACAAGTTAAATGAAGAACAATTAATCTTGGATATATGTGCAACTCGGACCGAATGGAGCAGTGAAATAAACAAAATAATAATTATAACAATTATTATTGGTGGTCCCGGTCTGCTTCATCCTCAAACTGTTTCTCCTGACTCTACTCGCTCCAACTGAGAGTCAATTGCAAATAGTACCTCCGCGCCAAATTAGCTGAGTTTGATAGGCTGAAAACATTATTGAAAGGCAGTGACAAGTAATATTTAAATTTGGATTGCTCTTGGATCCATGAGATGTATCTATTTATGAATTGCTTTAAATTGATTATTGCATTGATAATTTTTGTACAGTTTATTATAATTTTCTCCTCATTTAAATTACAAAATATAGAATTTTAAGGAGAGCTTCACATTTTTCCACCATGGTCGAGGACAAAATTAAAAGAGTAAAATTGCAACGTTACAATGCCCCCTCCCAGACCATGAAAGTGGGTGAAGTCAAAATGTCATTCTTTGTTCAATTAATTGCAACCGTCAAATTCATGATTAAACGAATTATTTAATAAATTCGTAACATCTCTTGGATACAAAAGCATTCCTCCAATTCTTTTTTTGGTTTGTAAAGGAAATTATGAAATGAAAAATAGTTTTAAATTAGATAGGTATTTATTTATGTAATTTAGATAACGCCTTTGTAGGCGAGGAACAGTAGAAATAGTCAGGTACAATTTTGTAGTGTATAACGTGTTCATTACTAAACAAATTAAAGTGCCTCTTATGGCAAAAGAAAGTAATTAGTATTTTAAAGAGACAATTAATTATTTGTCAAGCAAAAGAAAATAAGGAAACTAAGAGAAAAAAGCCTCTTTTGGCAAAAAAAAGAAAACTACGTTATAACATGTAAAAGAAAATGTACTCTGTGGCAAAATAAGAAATAATAATAATGAAATTTAAGGAAGGACTTTAGTCCAGGGCGAGCAAATCCACTTCGTCGGGGAATTCGTTAATATAGTCCGACTCTAGGCGGTTCCATTCCGTGACGTCATGGTTTATTCGCCATTTCCTTTTTAAGTGTTCCTTTTGGCATTTTATTGCCCATTGTCGCCTTTCTCGAACCTGACGGCCTGCTCTATGGAAGCGATTTAGCTTCCACCATCCGGCTACTGGTGCACGTGTCTGTGCTACGACGGGTGGCACTTGAGGCTCTGGAGGTGGTGGTGTTGCGGGATGTTCGAGGTGTGGCGGCTCCGGAAGAGGAATTTCGGGGAATTCGGGACCGTCCGCACTCAAAATTTCGGCGATTGATCGGACCGGTTCTCCGGGGAATTGATGGGAATTCTCCGGTATGTAGACGGTATGGCTGTTTCCATTACCCCGGTAGAAACTGAGCCTGTGGTATTGGCCCCAAAGGTTTTGGATTGGCCATCCATGATTCCCGACGTAAAATACTTCGGGCCATGGTCCAAATATGGCGTGTGGGTACACCAATTTCAGTCGTCCGTTTACGGGCATGACTTCCGGCTGGTAATCATTGAAATTAATATTCGCCTAAATGTGAGGAATATATTTTTAGGGTTCAGCGTTAAATGGTTTTAAGTCCTTACTGTGAATTGATAAGGGTTGTACTTTTCCATTGCCGTCCGCGAGTTCGTACACATTTTCGGATATTATTTTCGAAATGGTGAAGATTTCGGGATTATAAGTGGGCAATAAGGATGCTGTAACTCCCTTTTGAGTCGATGATAGTGTTCTATCCTTTTGGAAGACTTTATCGCCAATCTTGAATGAGTAAGGACGTCGCCGTAAGTTGTAATGGCGGGCTTGTTTGCGTTGGGCCTTTCCGAGGTGTAATTTAACAAGGTCGCGTACGGATTCGAGTAGGGTCATTCGCTCTTTCCAGGCGTCGACATTCCTGGAGGTTGAAGGTTGCTCTAACTCGCTTGTTAATGACGCTAATACCGTACCCGATGGTGGGGGGTCTCTGCCCAAGTTTAAGAAGGCCGGGGAGGTCTGAATAGAGGAGTGTTGGGCTGTATTGAATGCGAAACGAAAATCCGCCAAATACTCGTCCCATTTGCGCTGTGTCGTTTTAATATAGGAACGTAACATCGCTTTCATGACTCTATTCACCCTCTCCACAGGGTTCGCCTGGGGGTGGTATTTAGGTGTTTTACTAATTCGGATTTTGTAGGCTGCACAAAGCCCTTCTACGGCTTTATTTGAAAACTCGGTGCCGTTATCAGAGAACAAAAAGGAAGGGGTGCCCCAGCGGTTAATCACAACGTCCTTGAAAGCTTTAGTGATAGCCGGACCAGTGGCTTTACGTAGGGGAACTACCTCTATCCAGCGCGTGAAAAAGTCTTGGAATATTAGAATGTATTGGTGTTGAGACGAAGAGGGGGTATAGGGTCCCATTATGTCAGCGCCAACCATATACCAAGGTTGTTCAATTACGCGGTTGCCCATTTCACCGATAGGTTTCTTAGTTTCTACTTTACAGGTCTGGCATATTTCGCAAAGTTTAACATATTTAACTATATCGCGATAATATCCTGGCCAGTAATAGCGGAGAGAAACACGGTGGAAGGTGCGTTCTACACCTTGATGTCCGGCTTGAGGCTCGTCATGGGCCTCTTTTAGGACTTTAGGGTGAAGTTCTCTTGGAAGTACAAGTTTCCAAGTAGTTAGGTCGTCAATAGTGAAATCTATTATTTTATTAGTGATGTGATGGTATAAAAGGTCGTTTTCGACTTTCCAATTTGGAAAGGCATTAGGATGACGTAGAACATCGCTTTTCCTTTTTAAATACCATTCATCTTTTGTTTCAATTATCGCGGAAACGGATTCGGTGTCCTGATCTAGTCGCGACAAGAAGTCGGGGACCACGTTTAATGAGCCCTTGCGGTATTGGATATCGAAGTTATATTTAGAAAGTTCCATGGACCAGTTTGCTAGCCTACTGGATGGATCCTTCAGC